TTTAGAATGTTGTTTTTTTTTTTTTTTTCAGTGTCTCTCTATATACTTTCTACCGAAATATCCATTTTACAGTCATACACTGAAACATTTTAAACACTTCTTTTAATCAGATTTTCCTTTCCATTGAGTTTCCACTCTTAAATCAAACTTCTCTGCTTCAAGGCCTTTGCGGAATCACCGTCTGTTTCCTACTTTACCATTCTTTTCTCATTATTCCCCTACGTAGATGCTCTTCCCCAAGTATGGAAGTCTATTTAGGGAATACTCATTTCCCATTTGTTTATTTCTCTTTAAGTGACTGTATACTCCTTTCCTACTTGTTCTATTTCCTTCCCTCTTTTAAAGTCAGGCTCAGAAACTCTCTTCTCCTTCTCTGATTACCCTCCCTTCTCATGAGTCTTAAAATGTCTTTTGCTCTATCTTCATGTCCTCTCTCTGCTGTGTAGAATCTTAATAAGGGCTGGACTCAGGGAATCCAACGGATCTGAAGTCTATTATGCTACTTATCTATTGTGTGAGCTGGGTCACTTACATCCTGTACTGAGGCTTCTCTGATTCGGTTAGGAAGTGTGGAGGATGATAATCCTAGCTAGCCCCTAAATTTGCTGTGATGCAAGGACCTGGGGTAGTAGCTAGCAGGTAACAAAGTAGCTAATATGATACATTTCTTCATAGCTAGGAGAACGTTCCCTACATCCCGTACAGTGCTTGCAGAGACACCGAATACTCAGTGAAGGTCCACACTGACAATTCACTACAGCAGTTTGAGACAACACAGGCCAAACTCTGTGGCTTTCATTTGACATATTCTGTTAGGATTAACAGATTCCTATTTGCCAGAGGATGAGTCTATGCTCGTGTCAGATGTTTGCAGTTGTTAGACTGAGTAGACTCCGTTGAAGGAGACTTGAGACTCATGTGAGTGCAGGAAGGCAATGAAGGGAGAGTGTGAAGATGAGGTGGACTCTCAGAGACTCACATACACACAGTCATTTTGACTGATCTGAACAGGCCTCGGTGGGTCTTTGCGGAAACAAAACCCAAGTGGAATGGACAAGAATGTCTTTTCCTGTTGTATTTGCCTCATGACTCTGCTGGACCTAAGTCAGATTCTGTTCCTTGAAATAACAGTAACAGAGCTTCTCAGCCAAAGCCAGGGGCCGTCTAATGACTTCTCCATTTGGGGATAGATTTGGATGAGGACACGTGGCCTCTCAGAGTTTCCCCTCCTCAGGAGGGCTCTAGAAGACCAAAAGGAGATGACCTACCAGAATTGGGAAGGGCAGGTTGTCTTTATCACACACATCCATGAGGGGAACTCCAAAGAGCTGTCCTGGCTCTGCGGAAGGTGGGGCTGTGCACTGGTTGTGCTGACAAGTGCTCGAACCCTGACAAAAGACCCTGTCACTGAGAGAACGGCTTGTCACAGTCTTACGGCCGGAGTCTAAGGAGGAAGAGAGAGTACTAGTAGTAGTAGTTCTTGTTTAATACGCGGAACCTTCATTTTCCTTTTTTTTTTTTTTTTTTTTTTACAGATTTTATTTATATTTTGAAAGAGGGAGAGAGACAGCGAGAGAGGGAACACAAGCAGGGGGAGGGGGAGAGGGAGAAGCAGGCTTCCCTCGGAGCAGGGAGCCCGATGCGGGGCTCGATCCCAGGACCCCGGCATCATGACCTGAGCTGAAGGCAGACGCTTAATGACTGAGCCACCCAGGCGTCCCAGACACATCTTAATTCCTGATGACTTGTATTTTCCTAAAGATTTCCTCAAAGCAATGTGGTAAGCATCATAAAACCAAGAAATGTCAGAAATATGGAGGGATTGATGATACGTGTCTCCAGGTTCTGAATCAAAAGTCTACCTTCTAAGGTGGACTGCTGCCAGGTAGCTGTGATTAGCTAGGCTCAAATCGTACTAGCTCTAGTCTCAGGGGCACTTCTCCTAGTCCTATTAATGGCTTTTTGGGGATTCCATCCATCATCTTATTTAGTGTTTACCACAATTCTAAGATTTAGACATTATTTTTATCCACATTTATAGATGAATAAACTGATGCTGAGCTAGAAAAACTGATCAAAGGTAATATAGCTGGTAAATGGGGGCACAGGACTTTACACTCTGGAGAGGTTTTTTGACATCAAGTCAAGTCCTTTTTTCTCAATGATGCCAGTTCTTTTCAACCTGTTTCAAAGGGCACTGGAATCCTGTGGTGCCTCAAGAGCCCCTGAGCCAAAAGAGGAGGGAGGGGAAGAAAGGCCCCTTGCTCTGGCTTCAACCAGAGCACATCTAATATACATAAATATATATACTATGGTTATATTTATATAGTATAAGTATCTAATTATATATTATATATCTATATAACTACATATATATGTATGATGTTGTATATATATAGAGATATATAGCACCCACTTAGAATTTTGTTAGAAAAAATTCCCAAACACTGTAGCATACCATGATGAGTCCTAATGCCCTTATGATCTACACTAGAAACTTCTTGAAGTCAGACACCTCATCTTATCCTTTCTTTGGTCTCACAACAGTGTGGGACCTCCCTTGACCTGTGAGCCAGCCTTCGGAAGAAGGAGCCCATGGAAATCCTTGCCCTGGCGATGCTCTGGGCTCCAGAACAGCTCTGTCTAAGCATCTCCCATGACCCCTGGCAACCTTGCTGTCTGCTTCTCACTAAAGCCAATTAAATTACTCCCGGTACCTGCAGCCTTCTCGCTGTTACCACGACTCATTGAGTTCTCGCCCAAGAGGGAAGTGATGTCTTCTCCAAATATCCTGAGGCAATTTTCAATGAGAAATTGTACAAGACAAATCTGTAACACAAAAAGACAAGAATGAGGTGCTCTTTTCCATAGGGCATAGTTATAAATCACATTTTGTATACAGACCTTGGATCTAAGAAAAAATGGGAAGGACTTCTCAGAAAAATTCAGAGTTGATAAAAATATGTAGGAACCAGGGGCGCCTGGGTGGTTCAGTCGGTTAAGCGTCTGCGTTCGGCTCAGGTCATAATCCCAGGGTGCTGGGATCAGCCCTACATCGCGCTCCCTGCTCAGCGGGAAGCCTGCTTCTCCCTCTCCCACTCCCCCTGCTTGTGTTCCCTCTCTCGCTGTGTCTCTTTCAGTCAAGTAAATAAATAAAAGTTAAAAAAAAAACACAAAAAAACAGAAACAAATAGAAACCAGAGTTCTCTCAGAAATAACTTAGAAAGAGTGATACTTTCCCGTGTACTTTGGGTACACATTTTAAAATACTGCCCATCGGTGGGCTAAAGTTATAATGCGTGGCCTAGTTTAAGAGCTAACATTTTGGGATCAGTGGTTACGTCTTTAAGCCTAGGATAAATTTCGGGGCCCCTCTGTTGGTCGTCTGACTCTTGATTTCGGTGCAGATCACGATCTCATGGTGGTGAGATACAGCCCCACATGGAGCCAACTTTGGGCTCCGTGCTCAGCGGGGAATGGGCTTGGGCTTCTCCCTCTCCCTCTTCTTCTGCCCCTGCCCCGCTCACGCTCTCTTTCCCTCTCTCAAAAAAATAAATATCAAAAAATAAATAAAACTAGGATAATTTTCAAAGTAGCCTACCTTATTAAAGTTTACCTGTTTTTTGTTTTTAAATTTTGTTTCCAGTTTTATTGAGCTGTAACTGATGTATAACATCTTATGAAACTTTATAAAGTATGAACGAAAACTTAAGAAAACCATTTCTTAAATGAAGAAGAATCTTAAAGTTGAGAAGCAGAGATTTTGGTGGGGTTGTGAGGGAAAACCCACACAGCTGGACAGAAAACGTATCTGTCTGTCTAAATTCAGTACCTTCTCACACATTGGTTTGCCTCATGCTGGCTCTCTCTGTGTGAGCTTGGGGAAGACCTGTCATCTTGCTAGGATGGTCTGGAATCTTTTGCTAGTTTCCATAAGATGTAGCAGAGGTGAAATAGTAGTTGAGTACTTTTCTAGATGAGCCACAATTCGCAGAGGAAGGCCAATGTGGTTGGAGCCATGGGGGCTCATATTGCCCAAGCCACCCAGGATGTGCCAGTGATGACCAGAGGAGCTGGCTGTTGTCGCCATTGTGTAGTGAGGAAACCTTGGCTTTGCCCAAGGTTACGAGTCCCTCAGGGATTAGGCTGAGAGTTGAACCTTGACTGGTGAAGCTCCAAAGCCCAGGTTCTTTCCTATCGTATCACATGACTCTTCTCTCTCTCGTTTAGTCAGTCTAGTGTTTAGTCTCCTGGAGGGGGAAGAAGTGACTCGACTGCTCCGAGTTTCCCGTTTAACGACACCCCTTCCCAGACCCCGCCAGAGTAGCCTAAAGAACTCTGCCACTCCACAGGGGCCTAATGAAAATGTGCACTTCACAAAGTTCCATCCGTCAGAGTTACTACTGCACATGTCCGGTTCAAAGTAGGGATTCTACCCCATGGGGGCAAAAATGAGAGCTCTCATTACCTTTTTTATCAAGTTGTCTTCCAATTCCAAGGTGCCGGAATCAGGTGGGTAAAGAACGCTTGGGGCTATACAAACGGATAAATTATAAGCTGTCATCTGATTGGATGAGGAATGTTGCTCAATGTTGTATAGCACTCCAAAAAGGTATCGCAGGAGAACAACATTTCCTCTTGGCAGCTGGGGTAAAAGCCTAAGGTCAGAAAAATACACATTTAAATTAGGCAAGTGATTCCACTTAGGAGGTTGAAAAAAAAGACAGGGAACAGGATACATCCTTGTATATCTAGCACACAACCCGCTGTAGCAGAGTTCCAGGCATGAATGTATACAAAATTGTTGCCCTGACTTCAGTTCCTGCGCCAGATAAAATCTTCTCTGGTTAGTTAAATGTTTGACAGACCTTTAAGCTCATAGCCCTGGCAATTGATGTTCTTGCATCTGTCTTGGACCAGGGGATTTCCCCTAACAGTTTCATGTATCCAAAAGATGTAAAACGGCCAAGGATTCCACATTAATAAGATAAGGAAAAGAACGATAATGGCCCTAAAGTGTGTCTCCATTATGAACCTGGCCCCCATGGGTGTGAAGAATGGAAACTCTTTGGCATTGGTCATGATTATAGTGAGCAAAGCTGCAAAACGTAAGCCAATGTTTTCCTAATAGTATGTTGGCTGTATTTTGGAGATGTGACCAGAGTAATTATTGCATCATTACCTCTGGGCTGCAGTTATCTTCTCCTCTTCGTTGCCTTGATCAATAACACCGAGCCATTTGTCATAGTGATCAGATAAAAATATACTTCCGTGTATATTTCTAAGAAAATCCTTAGGGAGATAAAAAAAAAAAAAACTATGTATATATGTTATAGAAAATATGTAATGGAAATATTCCAGAGAAAATATGTAGTTAAAAAATTCAGTTCAGCCCCCACTTCCTTCACAGATACCCAAACTGTGACCCACACGGTGCTCGGCTCTGACTCTCCATTGACTTGCACACGCAGGAGCAGGTGCTTGGATTTTCTCCCACTAAAACTTAGAGGCATAAAGCAGAGCTTAGTCTGTGGTGGAAATGAAGATAAAGCTCCCTTCTATCATCTGGAACTTATTTTGTGTGTGTGCTTTTTTTGCAAAGTACCACAAACTGACAGGGTCTGGCTATAGACCATCCTAAATCCTATTAGCTTCCTGGACAGAAATACACATACTCATGTTGCTTGTTTTAGACACAGCGCCAGCTCTTAATTCTAGCAAGAAAAGGCCTGAAACAATCAAAACACAAACAGGTGGGCTCTTGCACACACATTAGGCAAGAAATAGGTCTTCTCATTCGGGGTATGTGTGCTCCCTGGAAGAAAGCTACTCTCACAATTGCTTCATTCTTCCTTTTCTTAACTGTCTAAAAGTCGAGAGTCTAAAGGCAGACTCACTGTGGTCCTGAGGATAGATTCATTTCTAGTTTAGGACAATTGTCCAGTTAGTTTGCCATGATATTATCAAGGCCAAGGTTGCAGAGTCTGATTCTCCACCAAGATCCGTCAACTTCAGGAAGAGAAAACTTTAGAAATGTCTAAGCACTATACCCAGAAGTGCTCACGCTCCTCCTTGTCAGTGCTTATAACACAGAATCAGGAAAGAACCTGCCAACTCTTGCTAGAAAATCGATTCCATGTGTGCACCTTACAGAGGGCAACACTCATCTTGCTACCTAGTGTATCATCATTCTTCTCCTGTCTCCTGATGCCTATATGTATATTACTACTGGATATCACTATGGCCCCAGTGTAGGAGTGGTTACCTAAGTCATTTATGGACTTTGCTATGGATCACATCTTCGAACATTAATGGGGGACAAGGGAAGACCAAATGTGACTGAGATTCTAAGACTGTAGTCAGTACTACATTAACATAGGGTTTGTCAGAGCTGTTCATAAGTGCCAAGCTGCATGGATTAAATTCTTTCCCTGTTCTATTTCTTCTTTTTTTTTTTTTTCTTATTCATTTGAGACACAGAGATAGAGAGGGAGAGAGCATGAGGAGGGAGAGAGGCAGAGGGAGAGGGAGAAGCAGGCTCCCCGCTGAGCAGGAAGCCCGATGCGGGGCTCGATCCCAGGACACTGGGATCATGACCTGAGCCGAAGGCAGACGCTTAACCATCTGAGCCACCCAGGCGCCCCTCCCTGTTCTATTTCTTTTGGAAAGTTTGCCTTCATTAGGAGGGTGGTGAGGATGTCTGCTTCGGTAAACAGTGTGTTTGTGTCAGTGCGTATTTTGAAATTTAGTATCATGACTGTAGTCATTTCAGTATTAGTATTTTGCATGGAGTCTTCAGGAGTGAAGGTGCGGAGGGCCGTGTGTGGTGAAAACAGAAAGTATTTCTAACACATGGGGCTTTTAACTCCTAAAGTAGCTTCCTTACATTTTGATTTTGTCAAGCGTTTTTTAGCTTGTCAGGTTCTTAATCTACTATGCCCGTTATGGTTCTTGAGCAGTCATGATGAAGGACACCCATCATCCCTTCAGTTACTCACATGTGGATAATGCTAGAACCTTCCCTACCTTTAAGACGGATGCGAACACATGAATAGATTCCCTGTACGGGTTCACTTTGATCCCAGAATTTAGTTTCTCCGTTAGGACTCTGCGGGATTTTATATTGGCTGAGTTTCTGAATATGCCTTCTGCGAGTGGCCGTTTTTGATTAATAAAGGAAAGCATACCGTGTAGGAAGAAAAGAAAAGTATATGGCATCTCATATACCATGCCTGCCTCCGTTTTGAAAGAAAAGGGGAATGTAATGGTACAATGTTTTAGAGCGGGAAGGACTAAAGTCAATTTAGATTGCTGTTTTTTCAGTGTCTCTCTATATACTTTCTACCCATATATCCATTTTACAGTCATACACTGAAACATTTTCAACACTTCTTTTAATCAGATTTTCCACTAAGTTTACACTTTTAAATCAAACTTCTCTGTCTCAAGGCCTTTGCGGAATCACCGTCTGTTTCCTAGTTTCCCATTCTTTTCACATTTTTCCCTTACATACATGCTTTTCCGCAAGTATGGAAGTCTATTTAGGAAATACTCATTTCCAATTTGTTTATTTCTCTTTAAGTGACTGTATATTCCATTCCTACTTGTTCTATTTCCTTCCCTCTTTTAAAGTCAGGCTCAGAAACTCTCTTCCCCTTCTCTGATTACCCTCCCTTCTCATGAGTCTTTCATTGTCTTTTGCTGTATCTTCATGTCCTCTCCCTGCTGTGTAGAAATTTAATAAGGGCTGGACTCAGGGAATCCAACGGATCTGAAGTCTATTATGCTACTTATCTATTGTGTGAGCTGGGTCACACACATCCTGTACTGAGGCTTTTCTGATTCGTTTAGGCAGTGCGGAGGATGATAATCCTAGCTAGCCCCTAAATTTCTGTGATGCAAGGAACTGGGGTAGTAGCTAGCAGGTAACATGCTAGCTAAGATGATACATTTCTTCATAGCTAGCGGAACGTTCCCTACATCCCGTACAGTACTTGCAGAGACACCGAATACTCAGTGAATGTCCACACTGACAATTCACTACAGCAGTTTGAGATAACACAGACCAAACTCTGTGGCTTTCATTTGACATATTCTGTTAGGATTAACAGATTCCTATTTGCCAGAGGATGAGTCTATGCTTGTGTCAGATGTTTACAATTGTTAGACTGAGTAGACTCCGCTGAAGGAGACTTGAGACTCATGTGAATTCAGGAAGGCAATGAAGGGAGAGTGTGAAGATGAGGTGGACTCTCAGAGACTCACATACACAGAGTCCATTTTGACTGATCTGAACAAGCCTCCGCATGTCTTTGTGGAAACAAGACCCAAGTGGAATGGAGAAGAATGACTTTTCCTGTTGTATTTGCCTCATGACTCTGCAGGACCGAAATCAGATTCTATTCTTTGAAATAACAGTAACAGAGCTTCTCAACCAAAGCCAGGAGCTGTCTAATGACATCTTCATTTGGGGATAGATTTGGATGAGGACGCTTGGCCTCTCAGAGTTTCCCCTTCTCAGGAGGGCTATTGAAGACCAAAATGAGATGACCTACCAGAATTGGGAAGGAGAAGTTGTCTTTATCACACACATCCATGAGGGGAACTCCAAAGAGCTGTCCTGGCTTTGCGGAAGATGGGGCTGTGCACTGGTTGTGCTGGGAAGTGCTGGAACCCCGACAAAACGCCCTATCTCTGAAAGAACGGGTTTTCACAGTCTTCAGGCTGGAGTCTAAGGAAGAAGTGAGAGTACTCGTAGTAGTAGTTGTTGTTTAATATGTTGAACCTTCTTTTTCCTTTTTTTTTTTTTTTTTACAGATTTTATTTATTTTTTGACAGAGAGAGAGAGACAGCAAGAGAGGGAACACAAGTAGGGGGCGGGGGAGAGGGAGAAGCAGGCTTCCCTTGGAGCAGGGAGCCCGACTCGGGGCTCGGTACCAGGACCCCAGTATCATGACCTGAGCTGAAGGCAGATGTTTAACGACTGAGCCACCCAGGTGCCTCAGACTCATCTTAATTCCTGATGACTTGTATTTTCCTAAAACTTTCCTCAAAGTATGTGGTACGTGTCATGAAAACAAGAAATGTCAAAAATATGGAGGGATTGATGATACGTGGCTCCAGGTTCTGAATCGAAAGTCTACCTTCTAAGGTGGACTGCTGCCAGTTAGGTCTGATTAGCTAGGCTCAAATCATACTACCTCTAGTGTCAGGGGCACTTCTCCTAGTGCTATTAATGGCTTTTTTTGAATTACATCCATCATCTTATTTATTCTACACCACAATTCTAAGATTTAGACATTATTTTTATCCACATTTTAGAGATGAATAAACTGATGCTTAGCTGCTATAACGGGCCAAAGATAATATAGCTGGTAAATGGGGGTACAGGAATTTACACTCTGGAGAGGTTGTTTGACATCAAGTCAAGTTCTTTTTTCTCAAAGATGCCAATTCTTTTCAACCCATTTCAAAGGGCACTGGAATCCTGTGGTGCCTCAAGAGCCCCTGAGCCAAAAGAGGAGGGAGGGGAAGAAAGGCCCCTTTCTCTGGCTTCAACCAGCGCACATGTAATATACATAAATATATACATTATGTTTATATATTTATATAGTATCAGTATATAATTATGTAATATATATAACTACATAGATATATATATAGCACCCATTTAAATTTTGTGAGAAAAAGTTCCCAAACACTGTGGCATACCATGATGAGTCCTAATTCTGTTATGATCTACACTAGAAACTTCTTGAAGTCAGAGACCTCATCTTATCCTTTCTTTGGTCTCACAACAGTGTGGAACCTCCCTTGACCTGTGAGCCAGCCTTCGGACGAAGGAGCCCATGGAAATCCTTGCCCTGGCGATGCTCTGGGCTCCAGAAGAGCTCTGTCTAAGCATCTCCCATGACCCCTGGCAGCCTTGCTGTCTGCTTCTCACTAAAGCCAATAAAATTATTCCTGGTACCTGCAGCCTGCTCGCTGTTATCACGACTCATTGAGTTCTCTCCCAAGAGGGAAGTGATGTCTTCTCCAAATATTTTAAGGCAATTTTCAATGAGAAATTGTACAAGAGAAATCTGTAACACAAAAAGACAAGAATGGGGTGCTCTTTTCCATAGGGCATAGTTATAAATCACATTATGTATATAGACCTTGGATCTAAGAAAGAATGTGAAAGATTTCCCAGAAAAATTCAGAACTGATAAAAATACATAGAGACCAGGAGCGCCTGGGTGGCTCAATCGGTCAAGCGTCTGCCTTCAGCTCAGCTCATGATCCCAGGGTGATGCGATCAGCCCTACATTGGGCTCCCTGCTCAGCGGGAAGCCTGATTCTCCCTCTCCCACTCCCCCTGCTTGTGTTCCCTCTCTCGCTGTGTCTGCCTCTGTCAAGAAAATAAATATAATCTTAAAAAAAATAATAAAATAAAAAACAGAGACCAGAATTCTCTAAGAAATAACTTAGGAAGAGTGATACTTTTCCGTGTACTTTGGGTACACATTTTAAAATACTGCTCATCAGTAGGCTAAAGTTTTAATATGTGGCCTAGTTTAATAGCCAACATTTTGGTATCAGTGGTTACATCATTAAGCCTAGGATAATTTTTGGGGCCCCTCAGTTGAGAATCTGACTCTTGATTCTGGCTCAGATCACTATCTCATGATGGTGAGATCCTGCCCAACATGGAGCCAACTTTGGGCTCCGTGCTCAGCGGGGAATGGGCTTGGGCTTCTCCCTCTCCCTCTCCCTCTTCTTCTTCCCCTGACCCGCTCACGCTCTCTCTTTCCCTCTCTCAAATAAATACATATCAAAATATAAATAAAACAAGGATAATTTTCAAAGAAGCCTACCTTATTAAAGTTTACTTATTTTATGTTTTTAAATTTTGTTTCCAGTTTTACTGAGCTGTAACTGATGTATAACATCTTATGAAACTTTATATAAAGTATGAACAAAAACTTAAGAAAACCATTTCTTAAATGAAGAAGTATCTTAAAGTTGGGAAGCAGAGATTTTGGTGGGGTTGTGAGGGAAAACCCACACAGCTGGAGAGAAAATGTATCTGTCTGTCTAACTTCAGTCCCTTCTCACGCATTGCTTTGCCTCATGCTGGCTCTCTCTGTGTGAGCTTGGGGAAGACCTGTCATCTTATTAGGATATTCTGGAATCTCTTGCTAGTTTCCATATGACGTAGCAGAGGTGAAATAGTAGCTGAGTACTTTTCTAGATGAGCCACAATTGGCAGAGGAAGGCCAATGTGTTTGGAGCCATGGGGGCTCATATTGCCCAAGCCACCCAGGATGTGCCAGTGATGACCGGAGGAGCTGGCTGTTGTCGCCATTGTGTAGTGAGGAAACCATGGCTTTGCCCAAGGTTACGAGTCCCTCAGGGATTAGGCTGAGAGTTGAACCTTGACTGGTGAAGCTCCAAAGCCCAGGTTCTTTCCTATCGTATCACACGACTCTTCTCTCTCTCGTTTAGTCAGTCTAGTGTTTAGTCTCCTGGAGGGTGAAGAAGTGACTCGACTGCTCCGAGTTTCCCGTTTAACGACACCCCTTCCCAGACCCCGCCAGAGTAGCCTAAAGAACTCTGCCACTCCACAGGGGCCTAACGAAAATGTGCACTTCACAAGGTTCCATCCGTCAGAGTTACTACTGCACATGTCCGGTTCAAAGTAGGGTTTCTACCCCTTGGGGGACAAAAATGAGAGCTCTCATTACCTTTTTTATCAAGTTGTCTTCCAATTCCAAGGTGCCGGAATCAGGTGGGTAAAGAACGCTTGGGGCTATACAAACGGATAAATTATAAGCTGTCATCTGATTGGATGAGGAATGTTGCTCAATGTTGTATAGCACTCCAAAAAGGTATCGCAAGAGAACAATATTTGCTCTTGGCAGCTGGGCTAAAAGCCTAAGGTCAGAAAAACACACTTTAAATTAGGTAAATGATTCCACTTAAGAGGTTGGAAAAACAGAGACAGGGAAAAGGATACATCCTTGTATATCTAGCACACAACCCCTCTCTAGCAGAGTTCCAGGCATGAATGTAGACAAAATTGTTGCACTGAATTTAGTTCCTGAGCCAGATAAACACTTCTCTGGTTAGTTAAATGTTTGACAGACTTTTAAGGTCATAGCCCTGGCAGTTGATGCTCTTGCATGTGTCTTGAACCAGGGAATTTCGTCTACAAGGTTCATGGATCCAGAAGGTGTCAAACGGCCAAGGAGTCCACATTAATAAGATCAGGAGAAGAACAATAATAGCCCTAAAGCGTGCCTCTATTCTGAAGCTGACCCCCATGGCTTTGAAGAATTGAAACTCTTTGACATTCGTCATGATTATAGTGGCCAAAGCTGCAAAACGTAAGCCAATGTTTTCCTAATAGTATGTTGGGTGTATTTTGGAGATGTGACCAGAGTAGAGTAATTATTGCATCGTTACCTCCGCGCTGCAGTCATCTTCTCCTCTTCGTTCCCTTGATCAATAACACCGAGCCATTTGTCATAGAGATCAGACAAAAATATACATCCTGGGATATTTCTTAGGAAATACTTGTGGAGATAAAAATAAATATGTATATATATTACAGAAAATATGTATTGGAAATATTACAGAGAAAATATGTAGTTAAAAAATTCAGTTCAGCCCCCACTTCCTTCACAGATACCCAAACTGGGACCCACACGGAGCTTGGCTCTGACTCTCCATTGACTTGCACACGCAGCATCAAGTGCTTGGATATTCTCCCCCTAAATCTTAGAGGCATTAAAGCAGAGCTTAGGCTGTGGTAGAAATGAAGATAAAGCTCCCTTCTATCATCTAGAACTTATTTTCTTTGTGTGCTTTTTTTGCAAAGTACCACAAACTGACAGGGTCTGGCTATAGACCATCCTAAATCCTATTAGCTTCTTGGACAGAAATACGCTTACCCATGTTGCTTGTTTTAGACACAGTGCTAGCTCTTAACTCTAGCAAGAAAAGGCCTGAAACAATCGAAACAGAAACAGGTGGGCTCTTGCACACATATTAGGAAAGAACTAGGTCTTCTCACTCGGGGTATGTGTGCTCCCTGGAAGAAAGCTACTCGCACAATTGCTTCATTCTTCCTTTTCTTAACTGTCTAAAAGTCGAGAGTCTAATAGTAGACTCACTGAGGTCCTGAGGATAGATTCATTTCTAGATTAGGTCCATTCCCAGTTTTTTGACATGATATTATCAAGGCCAAAGTTGCAGAGTCTGTTTCTCCACCAAGATCCATCAACTTCAGGAAGAGAAAACTTTAAAAATGTCTAAGCACTATGCCCACATGTGCATACCCTCTTCCTAGTCGGTGCTTATAACACCGAATCAGGAAGGAACCTCCTAACTCTTTTTTTTTTTAATGATTTTTTTTTTAAAGATTTTATTTATTTATTTATTTAAAAGAGAGAGAGAGAGAAACAGCATGAGAGGGGATAGGGTCAGAGGGAGAATCAGGCTCCCTGCTGAGCCGGGAGCCCGATGTGGGACTCGATCCCAGGACTCCGGGATCATGACCTGAGCCGAAGGCAGTCGCTTAACCAACTGAGCCACCCAGGCACCCGGAACCTCCTAACTCTTGCTAGAAAATCGATTCCATGTGCTCACCTTACAGAGGGCAACACTCATCTTGCTACGTAATGTATCAGCATTCTTCTCCTGTCTCCTGATGCCTATATGTATATTACTACTGGATATCACTATGACCGCAGTGTAGGAGTGGTTACCTAAGTCATTTCTGGACTTTGCTATTGATCACATCTTCGAACATTAACGGGGGACAAGGGAAGACCAAATGTGACTGAGATTCTAAGACTGTAGTCATTACTACGTTAACATAGGGTTGTTCAGAGCTGTTCATAAGTGCCAAGGTGGATGGATTAAATTCTTTCCCTGTTCTATTTCTTTTGGAAACTTTGCCTTCACTAGGAGGGTGGTGAGAATGTTTGCATGGGTAAACAGTGTGTATGTGTCAGTGCGTATTTTGAAATTTATTATCATGACTAGTAGTCATTTCAGTATTAGTATTTTGCATGGCGACTTCAGGAGTGAAGGCAGGGTAGGCGGTGTGTGGTGAAAACAGAAAGAATTTCTAACATATGGGGCTTTTAACTCCTAAAGTAGCTTCCTTAAATTTTGATTTTGTCAAGCGTTTTTCAGCTTGTCAGGTTCTTAATCTATTATGCCCATTATGGTTCTTGAGCAGTCATGATGAAAGACACCAATCATAGCTTCAGTTACTCGTGTGTGGATAATGCTAGAACCTTCCCTACCTTTAAGACGGATGCGACCACATGAACAGATTCGCTGTACAGGTCCACTTTGACCCCAGAATTTAGTTTCTCCTTTAGGACCCTGGTTGATTTTATATTGGGTGATTTGCTGAAGATGCATTCTGTGAGGGACCCTTTTTGATTAATAAGGGAAAGCATATCCTGTAGGAAGAAAAGAAAATTATATCGCATCTCATACCCCAAACGCAGAGCTCAAGCTTGCCTCCGTTTTGAAAGAGGAGGGGAATGCAATGGTACACTGTTTTTGAGCTGAAAGGACTAAAGTCAATTTAGATTGTTTTTTTTTTCAGTGTCTCTCTATATACTTTCTACCCATATATCCATTTTACAGTCATACACTGAAACATTTTAAACACTTCTTTTAAGCAGATTTTCCTTTCCATTGAGTTTCCACTCTTAAATCAAAATTCTCTGCTTCAAGGCCTTTGCACAATCACCGTCCGTTTCCTACTTTACCATTCTTTTCTCATTATTGCCTTACATAGATGCTCTCCGCCAAGTATGGAAGTCTATTTAGGAAATACACATTTCCCATTTGTTTATTTCTCTTTAAGTGAGTGTATACTCCATTCCTACTTGTTCTATTTCTTTCCCTCTTTTAAAGTCAGGCTCAGAAACTCTCTTCCCCTTCTCTGATTACCCTCCCTTCTCATGAGTCTTTCATTGTCTTTTGCTGTATCTTCATGTCCTCTCCCTGCTGTGTAGAATCTTAATAAGGGCTGGACTCAGGGAATAAAATGGATCTGAAGTCTATTATGCTACTTAT